GCTCAGGCTCAGGGTCAGGTCTGGAAACGCTCCCGCAGGTGGGGCGGTAGGTGAGGGGGCACACGAGCCACACGCGTGCCCTTGTGGGAGCCAGGTGACGGGTCAGAAGGAGGAGGCGAGGTATGTTTTCATAGCATTGTACGTAACCGAGTATAGCCCAGACATGACGTTTTCAACGTGCCATTTAAAGCATTACCAAAGGGCAGTTTTACTTTGTGCGTGCGCGCGCACTCTGTCTTAGAAATCCGCGTGCATCTTGTGCTCACTAGAGTGGCACCAGCGCGCACCATTGCCCCTCGTCCAGGTGGCCAGGGGCCGCTGTGGGCACAGTGAGGTTCTAGACCCCTCTCCCTCGTGGTGGCTCCTTCCTTGGACCCTGATCTTCGGGGCCCCTGTGTGCACAGCGGGTCCCACCCGCCCTGGTCAGGGCTACGGGTCCACTGTGTCCTGCACCATGTCTGTGGCCCGGGAGCCACGGGCCCGCTCCCTCTTCTCTCTTCCTTCTCCAGCTGGACTTTGGCCTCATGGGGTCCCGGCAGCCCCTTCCTGTTTTCCCAAGTTGACTGTTCTTGCAGTGCTGGTCTCGCGGGCAGGGTTTTGCGACGCGGCTCAGTCCCGAGACCAGCCTGGTTTGTCAGCCTGGCCCTGTGGGGAGCGGGCCGGGTGTGCGGTGGGAGGAGAGCCTCCTTTCTGGCTCTCTCCTTTGCATCGCTTTACCAGGTGGTTCCCATCCTTGGCCTGCCTTGTCCTCAGGTACGGTCCTGGGACCAGGCAACACCCCCTTGCTGGGGGCCTGTGGACATCCGGGGCTGACTGTGGATGAGACCCGTGTGATGCTCCACAGCCAGTCTCTCTGCCACCCCCACCCCTGTGTGAAATGCACTCATTTTCAAGTGAAAACCTGTTCACTTCTTGAGTACTCAGGCCCACCGCAGGCGCTGGCCCTCCCCCTCCCCCTTCACCCCCTGCTCCCTCTCCCTGGCGAGTGGCTGCTCCCCAGCGGGGCTGCAGGCTGAGAGATGCTTCCCAGCGGGGCCGCAGGCTGAGAGGTGAGGCTGAGCGCCTTCGCTGGGCCTCGGGGCCCTCTGCTCACCCGCTTGGCTTGCCTCCCAGACGGAGAGACTTCTGTGGATTTTCCACTCCTCCAGCCAGATCTCTGCTCTCAAAGCCCGGCCACTGGGAGAGGCAGAGAGACAGCCAGCGGACCACCCACCATGTTCCATCTCCCCTGCCTTTGACTCCTCCCGCTGTGCTTCTCCACTTTGGGAAGCAGTGCGTGCATCCCACCCTGGCCGCTCTGTCCCACTTGCCTTGGCCCCCACCCCAGGGCTCCGGAGGTGTGCAGAGCCTCGGGGAAGAAGGCAGCGACCCCCAGCCCGCAGGCAGTGCCCCCTGCAGCCTGCTGGGGAGTGGGGACCACGGGCAGAGTCCCAGGGTGCTACCCCTCGGCACCTGCTGGACCCTCGTGCCCTCAGCAGACGGTGATAGAGCAAGAGTCCCTGCTTGCTTCAGGCCGGTGGTTCTCTGAGTGGAGCCCTGGGCCAGCAGCCTCCCCACCAGCTGGAACTGGTTAGGAATGCGGGTTCCCGGGGTCCAGACCTGCTGATTCTGAAACTTTGCTGGTGGGCCCCAGAACTGCACTCTGACCAGGGATTCTGATGCTCGTCCCGGTGTGATGCCCCTGCCTTGGAGGCCCCCTGGGTCCCGGCATCTTCCTGCTGCAAGTGGGAAGAGGAGGACGGAGTCCACGTCTTGTCTCCCCCCTAGTCTCTGCCCCCTGCCTCTCGCCGGGTCCTTCAGGGACGATGTCTCCAGATGTTGTGCCCCTGTCACCATGAACCAGCCTGCGTGCTCAGGGGTGGGCTGTGCCCTGGCAGCGAGCACCCAGGAGACCTCCTGTCCAGGCTCCTCACGCCGGGCGCAGGGCCTGCGGGGACGAGCAGGGGCAGAGCCAGACCTGCGGGCGTCCGGGTGGAGTTCCTGTTCCCACACCTGTCCTCACGGTCAAGGAGGAGGCAGGGGCCTGCCGAGTGGGACAGCCAGGCTCCCCAGCCCCGTGGGCGGCTCCCGTCCTCACCTGAGCTGGGCAGGGGAGGGGAGCAGACGGGACGGGCTTGGTGGTGGCTCAGGCCTGATGACAGCCCCCGGCTTGCGCACAGCGTGCTTTTTCAGGCGGGAATGGTTGTGCTTATTGCAGCTGTTTTCCCAGGACCCCGGAGTGAGGCCGCCGGCTCTGTGGTGAGCAGCATTCCGCTAAGCCTCTGCGTGGCTTCCTGCGGAGGCTCTGAGGCTGTCAGTGAGAAGAGCCTGGGTTAGTCAGTGACTCAGCAAGCAGCCAGCAGTGGGCCGGGGCTGTGGCTGGGACGGGGAGGCCAGGCGTCCCGTGCAGCGAGACCAGGGCTGGCCTCAAACCCCGGAGTTCCAGGGCTCCCCCGAGGGAGGAGGTGTGGGTGCTCCTAAGCGTGGGCTTCCTCAGGGCTGTTCTCAGTCGGACCTTTCTGGGCCGGCTTCTGGCGTCGCTCTGTTCTGAAGACCTGTGAAGCAGAAGAAGAGGCCACAGCCGAGAAGCTGTGAGAGCTTCTGAATCATCGATGGTGATCAGGGCATCTTAAATCATACGACTCAGGATGGTCGCTGGAAGCTGGCCAGTTCCTAAAGCAGCATCCTGAGACTGTAGGAGGCACATCGTAAACTGTTTCCTTCCTTTCGTTCTGGTTTTAAAGCTTGGGAAAGCTTGAGTTCATCTCATCCCGGATGAGACCACATTCCAGGCCCCTGTCTTCCCAGGTCTGTGTGATGCGGCCTGAGATGCGGTGGCTCAGCCAGGGCTGCGGCCCACGTGCCATGAAGGTCCCTGCCGCCCCTGCAGGAGGAGCGTCTCTGGGGCACGTCCAGCCTCCTGAGGGGGCCGAGGGAGGGAGCGCAGTCCAAGCCGGCACGGGGCTGCCACGCGGCGCACGCTCAGGCACACGCGCGTGCTCACGGGGCCCTTTCAGAGCGCGCACGCTGTTTTGTAACTCCACAGTGGTGACCGGAATGAGACTCTTCTGGGTACTGTCACGTCCTCCCGTGGCTCTAAGACTTGTTCTTACGGGCCGTGCTCACAGGGTGTAAGGTATCGGCCTAAACGCAGACATGAATTTAGCAGCTTGAGACGACGCACACTGATGACCTCCCGTGGTTTCTGAGGGCTGGGATTCAGAGCAGGCGGGCCAGGGGATTCCGGCCGAGGGTCCCTCAGGAGGCTGCAGTAGGGGCTTCAGCCGTGGCTGCCCCATCCGAAGGCCGGACCGGGCGGGATGCCTGGCTTCCAGGAGGCCCCACCCGTGGCTCCTCTAAATGTGGGCCCCGCAGGGCTGCTGAGGCTCCTCAGTGCACGGGGGCCGGCTCCCCTCGGGAGGAGTGTGATGCGGGAGAGCGTTGCTGGAAAGTTCTAGACCCTCCTCCTCGTCCTGTGGCTACCTCAGCGCCTTGTACACTGTGCTGTGTGCGTTTGTCTCTGAGCAGACCCTGCGGGAAGTGTGGCGTCTTCTCTGCTTTCAGTGCCCAGGGAATTCAGGGCTGCCAGGGCTGTCTCTCTGGAATCACTGAATGTTGTGGACCAGGAACAGAGTCCAGGAACTATCATACGATCCAGCAATTCCACTAGTTGGTATTTGTATGAAGGAAACAGAAACTATTAATTCATAATGAAATCTGTACCCCCATATTCATTGCAGCATTATTTACAGTAGCCAACACTTGGAAAACCCTGTGTTCGTCTATGGATAAATGGATAAAGGACATTTGGCATATATATATGCCAAATTATTTTTATATATATATATAATTCAGCCATGAGAAAGAAGCAAATCCTGCCATTTGTGACAACATGAATGGACCGTCAGGGTGTTATGCTAGGTAAAATATGTCAGGCAGAGAAAGAAAAATCCTGTATGATCTCACTTTATATGGAATTTTTAAAAAAGCTCATAGAGGCAGGGCGTGGAGGGTGGTTGAAATGGGTAAAGGTGGTCAATATGTACAAACTGCCAGTGATAAATAAGTCCTGGGGATGTGACTATAGTTAATAATACCGTATTGCATATTTAAAATTTGCTAAGAGAGTAGATCTTAAAAGTCCTCATAAGAAAAAAAGATTTCTACCATGTATGGTAATGGATGTTAACTAGACGTACTGTGGTGATCATTTTTTAAATTGAAGTATAGTTGATTTACAGTATTACATTGTAATAACAATATATTAGAAGCCAATGATTCCATATTTTTATAGATTATACTCCATTTAAAGTTATTATAAAACATTGGCTATCCTTATAGCTTATTTTATGCATAGTAGTTTGTGCCTCTTCATCCCCTCCCCTCCCCCTATCTTGCCCCTCCCCCCTTCCCTCTACCCACTGGTAACCACTGCTTTGATGTCTACATCTGTGCGTTCATTTCCTTTCTGTTACATTTATTGTTTATTTTTTAGATTCCAC